CTTTCCTCTGTGTGAACACAACCCTTGTGTCTCTTTGTGTGTTCAATTTTCCTTTTCTTATGGCACCAGTCTGACTGGATTAGGGAGTGTAGTATACTAACATTTATAAAGGAATTGTATTTTACAGGGCCTAACTTTTTAGAATTACACATAGAAATGTTAAGCTTGTGAAAGACAGAAAACTTTCCCCAGCTAAAGTCTCTGTTGTAGATAAAGAATTGTAACACAGCAAAATTGCTGGCTCTAAGGGCAGATGTCCTTGGTGCAGCTAAACCTAATGACTGTTGCCATGACAATTATCTTACTATTCTTTTTGTAACCATGTATGTTCCTTTTCTGTAACTTTCTGGCCTGGAGAATAAATACTGAGAAAAGACCCTAGTTAGGGTTATTTTCTGAGGAGGAATGCCTCTCTCTTCAGGGTTCCTGGAAATTAACCCCTTCGGGGCTTCTCACTGCTCAGAAGAAATGGGCTTTGAGTAATCCTTTGTGTCTCCATCACCCTGGCAAAGGTGACATTAGGGCCCAAACTAATGGCTTCGATTTAACTTAATCACAGTTTTAAAGGCCTTATCTCCAAATATAATAACAATATGAAGTACTGGGATTAGGGTTCAATATATAAACTTTACGGCCACACAATTTAGCCCATATAATACTTGTACATACAAATCTAATAAAAATGCATGCTTAAATTGCAAACCACCCATAAACAAAAATAAGCTTCAAAAGACCTAAATAAATGGAGAGATACAGCATGTTAGTGAATTGAAAATTCAATATCGTTAAAATGTCAATTCTCCCCAATTGATAATACAACAAAATCCCTATCAAATCCCAAAAGGAATTTTTATAGAAATTGACAAGTGATTCTAAAAGTTTGTGTAAAGGCAAAGAAACTAGTAAAAAACACGTTGGAAAAACAAAAGCGTTACAGGACTCACCCTACTTGATTTCAACACTTACCATGAAGCTATAGCTCAATCAAGACAGTATGGTAAGGACAGACATAGATGGAAAGGACAGACACAAAAACCACTGGAAAAAAAGAGTCAGAAATAGACCTCTGCATATGTAGTCAACTCAATGGTAAACGAATAGCCTTTTTTAACAAATGAAACTGAAATAGCTAGAAATGTAAATATAAAAATAGAATGGGGACCCATCACATGCTCAATAAACAAAAATTAAAACAAAATGGATTATAGATCTAAGTAGAAAAAGGAAGACTAATAAATTTCTAGAATAAAACCAACAGAGAAAAATTTTTGACAGTATATTAGGCAAAGATTTCAGAGATATAATCCATAAAAAAAATTGATAAATTCAATTTCATCAAAATTTAAAACTTATGTTCTTCAAAAGACAGTTAAGAAAACCAAAAGCTCAACAATACTCAATACGAACACTAAAGTATTCAGGAGTAAAGGGACAAAATGTCATCAAGTAATGCTCAAGTGGATTAAGAAAAAGTTCTTTACGCTATTTTTGCAATGTTTCAAGTTTGAAATTATTTCAAATGAAAAACAATTAAACATGAATAAACAGCCCAGAAAAATACCAAAAACTGTGTATGGACATTTTCTTTTTACCATTTTCTTAGAAAAAGAAAAGTCACATAATACAAAACCCAGAAATCATGAAGGAAAAAATGAATCAATTTTGACTATGAAAACATTAAAACTTTTTGCACGGCAAAAATAAATGCGAATATGAGATAAAAAACAAATGACAAAATGAAAATAAACAGAAATAATTGAGAGATAATTTCCTTAATTGAAAAACCATAATCCAATAGAAAAAGTACAGAAGACATAAATAGCACTTTCAAAAACGGAAATTTGAATTGCCAATAAACTTAGTAAAACATGTTCTTACTCAGAAAGAAATGCAAATCAAAACCAGAATATAACACTTTTCCACTTAAAATGATATTTAACATTTATGAGAACAGAGAACGATACTCACTCTTGGTGAATTAATACTCAACTTAGAAATTTGGCAAAACTCATCAAAATTTAAAATTCGCATACTCTTTTACCAAACAATTCCACTTCTATAAATTTATCCTACTGATAAAAGTACAATCAAATATATGTACAAGGAATTCAGTATTTTTCATAACTGTAAACACTTGTAATGATAAGAATGCTTATCAAAGCAGGATATTAGACAAAAGACGGTATACCCATACAGTTCAATACTATATCACAATGAAAATTGGTGAGGCAGATCTGTATGTGCTAACATGAAAATATCTCTAAAGTACATAACATATATGTTAATAACAGTGAAAAGAATACAGATTCAGAACAGTTAAGTATAGGGTTCCATTTATCTAAATTTTAAAAACATAAAAATGTTCATACACATACATAAACACACATGTGCGCGCATGCAATAGTATATGCCATAAACATTTTCTGAGTAACCATCGAAGCAGTAGTTAACAGTGTTACCACTGAGGAGAGGGACTGCAGGCTGAAGAAGTAAGAAAAGGTATATTTATCATTGTCAGGTCAGCCGCCGGCCTACCCGAACTGCCCTAGAAAAAAACGCCTCATTATCAGTCTTTCCCTAGGTGTCCCATTTGGTGGGCGAGTGAATTGCCCGAATTCCTCTTTCCCTCCGGAACCCTTGGAAGGAGACAGGGGAAGAGAGCCGTGAAGAGAGGTGAACACAGCCACTGGCCCCAACCAGCCCATTAAAGGACACTCAGACACGGCGGGGGTTCTGTCGAGCAGTTCCGTTTATTATCACACAAGCACTTGCTTTTAAAGGCAAATGGGGAAGGGGGGTTTTTACATCCTCCAATCAGCTTACAGGTTATGAGAGCATGCAGCCTGCCTCAATGCCTAGCTATTGCAATCACGCAGTGTTCACGAGCGCGGAAGCACGTATTTGGCAAATAAGGGCTAAGGCAAGGTTCCCGCAGACACTCCCACCCTACTTCTTCCCGGCGCCATCTTAGGCTGCCACGTTAATATGCCCTTTTGGTCCCATAATGGCGCTGCTTGTAATGTCACTTAAGGTGGCGTTAGTTTTTAAGGCCCGACATATCATTTTATACCTTTCTTAACTACTTACACTTTTTACCATTTCACCAATTTCTCTTCTAAAATGTAATTTTTCAAAGGTCTATTCAAACTGAATTGCAAACTGTTTTATCTGAAATTCCTGTAATTTTTTTCAAATACTATATTTGTGGACATTTAAAATTCATGATTATACTGGGCTTCCAGCCATGATGGCGGAATAGACAGTCCCCAGCGTCACTCTTTCCCACAAATCCACCAATTTACAACTATATAAAAAAGCAACAACAGCCATGCTGGGGCTGCTAGAGCTTAGGGGAAGAGGAGAAGAGACCTACAGAGTGCATGAAGGTGGGAGAAACCATGATGAGAGAAAAAAAACTGCTCTGACCAATTCATGCCACAGCCACTTTAAGGCTGAAACTGCTGAGCACATGGAGCAGGAGCCAGCAAAAGCTGCAGTTGTGCCCTTTGGATGGAATTGCTTACAGGCGGCAGGGGAGAAGAGGGCTATGGTGGCCCCCAGGCCAGCAAGACTACTAACAGGATTCCCGTGGACCCACACAGAAGTGAGAAGCCACAACAACTGACAAAAAATGGAGTCACTCAGGGCCTGGTAAGTCATCGTAGGGGACTGGTGCATGGCCCATCAATCAGGAAGTGTTTGCAGCATGGGCAGCAGGGAAGACTTGCAGCACAGGCAGTGGAAAAGACGGGCCCACCAGGGGAATGCTAGGGCACAGCAAGGACAGCTGATCTGAATCCCAATTCAGACCACTCATAGGAGACTGGTCAGGAATACAGCACTGCATGGGATGCACTTTGATGAAAAGACACAGGGCCAGATCAGAGTTTCTATACAACCCAGATGCACCGAGTCTCTGGGGAGCAAAAAGTACATATATAACCAACCATTATAACCTGTGCTGGACAAAATGCCTTCCCTAGGTAAGCAGAAGCAAAGCAGCAATTTAGCTAAACCACAGAGCTCAAGTACTGGTCCCAACAGGAAATTCCCCCACTTTAGAAGCAAAGAACAAAAAATTAGTTCCAGCACAGAAACACCACCAGCGCCTCAGGGCACACCCGAGGACCCCAGACACAGAGAAGGCCACTGGACCCCCCCACACACAACCAGGCACACTGCGCCAGCGCCTCAGGGCACACCCGAGGACCCCAGACACAGAGAAGGCCACTGGACCCCCCCACACACAACCAGGCACACTGCGCCAGCGCCTCAGGGCCCACCCAGGGACCCAAGGCAAGGAGCTGGGAACCAGACACATGCCACAGCCAGGCACACTGCCAGCGCCAAGGAGCATGTCAAAAACATCACCTCCATGTGGGTGGCCCAACACAGCCACCACAATAACCATGGCTGTCGTGAAAGCGGCTAGACGCCACAACCACCAACCACACAGATGATCCGCCAGCCACTGGAGTGCACTGACACAAGTAGAGTCACCAGCAGAGATAAAGAAAAGAAGAGGATGTCTCTCTCCACAAAACCCATTTCAGAGTGACAGAAGAAGCATCTGCACTATGATAATATTGGGGGACCTGATCACACCTCTCAGCATTGGACAGATCATCTAGGCAACAAACCAACAGAGTAACCATTATTCTTTCATAAGGAGAGAAGAAACCTAGGGTAATTAGAGGAGGGAGGGGGAAAGGGGAGGGGGAAGGGAAGAGACTGGACAAGGGGCATAAAGAATAATTACAATTTGTAACAATAAATATGCTAGTAATATTGATTTGATCAACATATCTCAACACTGAACTCCAAAAATATGTATAATCAATTTTGCTTCGTAAAGAATAATTACAATTTGTAACAATAAATATGCTAGTAATATTGATTTGATCAACATATCAACACTGAACTCCAAAAATATGTATAATCAATTTTGCTTCAATAAACAAATAAAGTTCATGATTGTATTAATTTTGAAATCACATTACCTGAAATGATTTGACAGGGGCAGATACTTCAGATACAGATTCAGGTTTTGGAATGCTTTCAATCAATTCCATAATCCCTTGAAGTTTTTTATCCGAGATTCGTAAAGAAACAAGAGGTAACTTTCCAAAAATCTTGAATCTGTTTTAAAAAGATAGGAATCATTATAGAGGAACTTTCATTCTGATTTAAGTGCACTAATTAAGAAGAAAACTATTCCCTTCAAATTATCCAAATATAATCAAATGTGATTTTAAGCACTAAAAAGAACTACTCCAACTTCCATCTTATATTATTAACCAATCTTATCAGATGAGCTAACCACGTCATTTTTCAGAGGATTATTTTATAATATTATTTCATGTACTGTCCCTCTAGTGTTTGTCAAGTACAGATGGTAATTACTATATACCAAGTGTTTGTTATATGATAGACACTGAGAAAAGTACTTTGTATGCTTTAGTCCTGACAACCTACGAGGTAGACAACCTGTTTCTGCTCCCTATTTCGTATAAGTTCCCATATGTACACGATTCCTCATAGGGACATTAAGACTTAGCAAATTCAAATAACTAGTGAGAAAGATTATATATTTAAAACCATGATGCAAAACCAGATCTTAATGCTTATTGTTTTAATTGCCTTTGCAGCCTCCTTTGCTTACAGATGCAAGATCAGAGACAAAGAGACAGACATCACAGAGAGAGAAAGTTTTCACTCACCATTTTTATCCCTGCATTGCTAAGGTTATCTTTCTTAAAATGTACCCAAATTCCTACAGAAAATTATAAGCTTTCCCTCACTTCCAGTAGCCTAAATATCTATAATTAGTCCCATATATCCTAGTTTAACTTAGTTACACATTATGAGTCAGACCCATTAATGCATCTAAATTTCTTTTCACTTTCTTGAAATATGCAAGTTGTACAATCTGAAGATGCTGGGCACAAAAATACCACCTATCAAATAACAGGGTTCCTTTTATTCACCTTTCACTTCTTCAGCTGAAACTTCAAAGGAAGGTGGTTGACCCTTGTAGAGTTCTAGGATTTTGCATAACATCATATTTACTTTATAATGCTCATGAGGTTGCAAAATTAAAAACCAAATAACTTCTCAATTTCATGTTAAATAAAAATTATCAGAGGTCATTGTTGTAGACTAATTCCTGCACTAGGCTCCAAAAAACCAGACTAAAAAATCTAAATGGGGTCACCCCTGCTAAGTTCCAGGGCACTTAGGCTGTGGCCTGACCTTCCCAGAAGTCCAGAAGAAAGAGAGAACAACCAGTTTTCCAAGAACGGGTCAGTTTAAATCTTCAACAGGTATAATAATGAAGTTCCCTCTGCTTCAATCCTTACGCAAAAGAGACAGCCTGAAGTAACCTGTAGTAACTAATCAGTTACTTTCCTGTTGTTCTGTCTTGCTGTCCTCACCCTGCAAGGAAAGTCCCCACCTTGTAAGGAAAGTCACTTTGAAATGATCAATTTGCCTTTTGTTCTTTGTTTCTGCTTTCTTCAGCCTCTTCTATCGATAAAGCCTTTGTTACTTGTAATAAACTTCTGAGTACTTCTCTGACTCTATGTCAGATGATGTTTCCTGGGTTGATCCTCACACTGCCTCCCAATAAACTTTACAGAATTATTTATGCCTCAACAGCCTTAATTTCCGTTGACACATCTTTCTAAATCATTGCCATTTCTGACCTGCACCAAGAAGATATAACAATTATAAACATATATGCACCAAACATGAGATCCTCACACTGCCTCCCAATAAACTTTACAGAATTATTTATGCCTCAACAGCCTTAATTTCCATTGACACATCTTTCTAAATCATTGCCATTTCTGACCTGCACCAAGAAGATATAACAATTATAAACATATATGCACCAAACATGAGGGCTCAAAAATACATGAAGCAAACACTGACAGAGTTAAGGGGAAGAAACAGACATCTCCATAGGAACAGTAGGAGACTTCATGCCTCACTGTCAATAATGAATAGAACAATCAGACATAAGATCAATAAGGAAAGAGAGGGCTAGAACAACATTATCAACAAATTGGACCAAGCACATACAGAACACTCTAACAATAGCAGAATACACATTTTTCTCAAGTGTATATGAAACATTCTCCAGGATAGACTACACGTTAGGTCACAAGGCAAGTGTCAAAAAATGTTAAAAGACTGAAATCACAGAAAGTATCTTTTCTGACAACAATGGCATAAGTCTTGAATGCAACAGTAGAAGGAAAAATTGAAAATTCACAAATGAGTGGAAATTAAAAACCATACCATTAAACAAGCAATGGGTCAAAGAAAATATCACAAGGGAAATTAGAAAATATCTTGAAACAAATGAAAATGAAAGCACAACATACCAAAATTTATGTGATGCAGCAAAAGTCTGCCAGGAGAGTTATTTTTAGCTGTAAACACCTACATTAAAAAAGAAGATCTCAAATCAACAGCCTAACTTTACACCTTAAGGAATAGAAAAAGAACAGCAAACTAAACCAAAAGCTAGCAGAAACAAGGAAATAATAAAGATTACAGCAGAGATAGATAAAGCATAGCAAAACAAGAGAAAAATCAACAAAACCAGAATTGCTTCTTCAAAAAGATTAGCACAATTGATGAACCTTTAGCTAGATAAAGAAAAAAAGAGAAAAGACTCAACTAAAACCATAAATAAAAGTGGAAACAGTACCACTGATTTTCAAAATAAAAAGGTTTATAAGAGTACTATGAGCAGTTTTACACAAACTGAATAATCTAAATAAAACAAATTCCTAGAAACACAAAACTACCAACACTGAATCACAAAAAAATTGAAAATCTGAATAGACTTAAACTACTACAGAGAGTGAGTCAGTAATCAAAAACCTCCCAACAAAGAAAAGCCCAAGAACTGATAGTTTCACTTTTGAATTCTACCAAATGATTAAAAATTAAAGAGGAGAGAATACTTCCTAACTCATTCTATGAAGACGGCATTACCCTAATACCAAAGCCAGACAATAATACTAGAAGAAAATAAATCTATAGTTCAACATCCCCAAAGAACATTAACATAAAACTCCTCCAAAACACTAGCAAACTGAAATCCAACAGCATATTAAAAGGCATATATTCCACTAGTATGTGGGATTTATTCTGAAAATGGGAGGATGATTCAATATATGAAAATCAATCAATTTAATAAACCCCATTAACAGAATAAGGGGGGAAAAACACATGACCATCTCAATTGATACAGAAAAAGCATTTGAAAAAATTCATCACGCTTTGATGATGAAACACTCAACCAATTAGGAATAAAAGAAAATTACCTCAACATAATACAGGTCATATATGAAAAACCCACAGCTAACATCACACTCAGTGATAGAATACTGGAAGTTTTCCGCTATGCTCAGGATCAAGACAAAGATGCGCACTTAAACCACTTCTATTTAACAGAGTATGAGAATTTCTACCCAGAGCAATCAGACAAGAAAAAGAAATAAAAAGCATACAAATCAGAAAGGAAGAAATAAAATTAACTCTGTATGCAAATAACATAATCTTATATGTAGAAAAGCCCAATGATTCCACCAAGAAAAAAAAAAATTGTTAGAACTAATAAATAAATTCACAAGTTGCAAGATACAAAAGTCAGTTGAGTTGCCATACACTAACAATAAACAATCCAAAACAGAAATTAAAACAATTCCATTTACAATAGCATTGAAAACAAGGAACTTATCCAAGGAAGCCAAATACTTGTAAACTGAAAACTAACAAATACCACTAAAGTTAAAAGAAGACACAAATAAATAAAGACACCCCATGTTCAAGGACTGGAAGAACTAATACTCTTAAGATGTTAATACAATTCAAAGTGACCTATAGATTCAATGCAATCCATATCAAAATCAATGACATTTTTTGCAGAAATAGAAAAATCCATCCTAAGAATTATATGGAATATCAAAGGATCCCCAAAAGCCAAAACAATCTCAAAAAAGAACAAAGTTGAATGACTCATAATTCCTGATTCCAAAACTTATTACAAGGCTACAGTAATCTAAACAGTGTGGCACTGGCATAAAGACAGACACAGAGACCAATGGAAAAGAAACAGAAAACCCAGAATTAAACTCTTGCATATATGCATATATGGTCAAAAGATTTTTGACAAAGATACCAAGACCATTCAATGCAGAAAGGATAGTCTTTTCAATAAATGGTGCTAGGAAAAAAACGCATTTCCATGTAAAAGAGTGAAGTTAAATCCTTGTCTTACACCACACACAAAAAATTAACTCAAAATTGATCAAAGACCTAAACATATGAGCTAAAACTACAAACCTCTTTTAAAAAAATTAGGGGAAAAACTTCATGACATTGGATTTGGTAATAGTTTCTTGGATATGACATCAAAAGCAACAAAGATAAATTGGACTTAATCAAAATTTAAAAAGTGTATGCATCAAAGGACACTATCAAGAGTGATAAGGCAGAGTTCCAGTCAAGATGGCGGAGTATTCAGTTCCTAGTGTCGCTCTCTCCCACAGAACAACCAATTTGCAACTATGAAGGAGCAACAACAGAAGACCCGAGATCTGCGCCAGAACAGGCAGGAACTGCACGCCACAGGACCCCAGTTCAGGTTGCTTTCCACTGCGTAGAGACTTAAGAGGCTTGGGACTCCCAAACCCTGAGCTAGCCAAGCCAGAGAAGG